CCATCACCTGAGCAGAATGCACTTCACCATATTTGTAATCTTTTATCCCTCACCTCCCTCCCACTCTTCCCCCAAGTCCCCAAAGTCCATTGTATCATTCTTACACCTTTGCATCCTCATAGCATCCTCATATGATACACATGTAAGTGAGAACATATGGTGTTTGGTTTTCCATTCCTGATTTACTTCACTTAGAATAATGGTCTCCAGTTTCATACAGGTCACTGCAAATGCTGTTAATTCATTCCTTTTTATGACTGTGTAGTATTCCATCACACACACATACATACACACACACACACACACACACGCTTCAAAAATAATGCATAGCAGCTGTAGTAGTTTTCATTCCTACCAGCAATGTAAAAGTGTTCCTGTTCACTGCATCCACTCCTACATCTACTGTTTTTTGATTTTTCGATTATGGCCATTCTTGTAGGAGTAAGATGATATACATTGTGGTTTTGATTTGCATTTCCCTGATAATTAGTGATGTTAAGCATTTTTTCATGTTTGTTGGCCATTTGTATATCTTCTTTTGAGAGCTATTTATGTCCTTAGCCCATTTTTTGATGGGATTGTTTTTCATTTTTTCTTTTCTTTTTTTTTTTTTTTTGAGATGGAGTCTTGCTGTGATGCCAAGCTGGAGTGCAGTAGCGCGATCTTGGCTCACTGCAACCTCTGCCTCCTGGATTCAAGTGATTCTCCTGCCTCAGCTTGCCAAGTAGCTGGGACTACAGGCATGTGCCACCACCCCCATCTAATTTTTGCATTTTTAGTAGAGATAGGGTTTCACCATGTTGACCAGGATGGTCTCAATCTTTCGACCTCATGATCCACCTGCCTCAGTCTCCGAAAGTGCTGGGATTACAGGCATACGCCACCGTGCCTGGCTGATTTGTTTTTTTTTTTTCTTACTGATTTGTTTGAGTTGGTTGTAGATTCTAGATATTAATCCTTTGTCAGATACATAGATTGTGAAGATTTTCTCCCACTCTGTAGGTTGTGTTTACTCTGCCGACTGTTCGTTTTTCCATGGAAAAGCTCTTTAGCTTAAGTAGGTCCCAGCTATACTCTGTTTTAATTTCATGTGGTTTTGAGTTCTTGGTTATGAAATCTTTGCCTAAGCCAACATGTAGATGGGTTTTTCCAGCGTTATCTTCTAGAATTTTTATAGTTTCAGGTCTTAGGTTTAAGTCTTTAATCCACCTTGAGTTGATTTTTGTATAAGGTGACAGCCGAGGATCCAATTTCATTCTCCTACATGTGACTAGCCAATTATCCTAGCACCATTTGTTGAAAAGGTGTTCTGGGTTCTCTATTCTGTTCCATGGGTCTCTGTGTCTATTTTTATACCAGTACCACACTGTTTTAGTGACAATGGCCTTGTAGTATAGTTTGAAATCAGGTAGTGTGATGCCTCCAGATTTGTTGTTTTTGCTTAGCCTTGCCTTGGCTATGTGGGCTCTTTTTTGTTTCCATATGAATTTTAGAATTGTTTTTTTCCAATTCTGTGAAGAATGATAGTGGTATTTTGATGGGAATTGCATTGAATTTGTAGATTGCTTTTGACAGTATGGTCATTTTCACAATATTGATTGTGCCTATCCATGAGCATGGGTTGTGTTTCCATTTGTTCTTGTCATCTACAATTTCTTTCAGCACTGTTTTGTAGTTTTCCTTGTATAGGTCTTCTGAAAGACCTAACTCCTTGGTTAGGTATATTCCTAAGTATTTTATTTTATTTTTGCAGCTGTTATTAAAGGGGTTGAGTTCTTGATTTGATTCTTCACTTGGTTGCTGTTGGTGTATAGAAGAGCTACTGATTTGTGTACATTAATCTTGTATCTAGAAGCTTTGCTGACTTCTTTTATCAGTTCTAGGAGCTTTCTGGAGGAGTCCTTAGAGTTTTCAAGGTAAATGATCATATTGTCAGCAAACAGTGACAGATTGACTTCCTTTTTACTGATTTGGATGCCCTTTCTTTCTTTCTCTTGTCTGATTGCTCTGGTTAGGACTTGTAGTACTATGTTGAAGAGGTGTGGTGAGAGTGGGCATCCTTCTCTTGTTCCAGTTCTCAGAGGGAATGCTTTCAAGCTTCCAACTTTTCTCCATTCAGTATTGTGTTGGCTGTGAGTTTGTCATAGATGGCTTTTATTACATTAAGGTATGTCCATTGTATGCCAGTTTTGCTGAGAGTTTTAATCATAAAGGGATGCTGGATTTTGTCGAATGATTTTTCTGCATCTATTGAGATGATCATGTAATTTTTGTGTTTAATTCTGTTTATGTGGTATCTCATATTCATTGACCTGTGTATGTTAAACCACCCCTGCATCCCTGGTATGAAACCCACTTGATCATGGTGGATTATCTTTTTGATATGTCATTGGATTCAGTTACTGGTATTTTGTTAAGGACCTTAGCATCTATATTCATCAAGGATATTAGTCTGTAGTTTTCTTTTTTGGTTATTTCCTTTCCTGATTTAAGTATTAGGGTGATACTGGTTTCTAGAATAAATTAGGGAAAGTTCCTTCTTTCTTTATCTTGTGGATTAGGGTCAAAAGGTTTGGTACCAATTCTTTGAATGTCTGGTAGAATTCTACTGAATCCATCTGGTCCTGGACTGGACTTTGGTAGTAGTTTTTAAATTACCATTTCAATCTCACTGCTCATTATTGGTCTGTTCGGGGTATCTAATTCTTCCTGATTTAAGCCAGGAGCATTGTATTTTTCCAGGAATTTATTCATCTCTTCTAGGTTTTCTAGTTTATGTGTGTAAAGATGTTCATAGCAGCCTTGAGTGATCTTTTGTATTTCAGTGTTGTCAGTTGTAATGTTTCCTGTTGCGTTTCTTAGTGAGGTTATTTGGATTTTCTCTCTTCTTTTCTTGGTTAATCGTGCTAATGGTCTGTCAATTTCATTTATGTTTTCTAAGAACTATCTTTTTTTTCGAGATGAAGTCTTGCTTTGTCATCCAGGCTGGAGTGCAGTGGCGCAATCTTGGCTCACTGCAGCCTCCACCTCTTGGGTTCAAGCAATTCTACTGCCTCAGCTTCCCAGAACCAGCTTTTTGTTTCATTTATCTTCTGTATTTTTGTTGTTTTCATTCCAATTTCATTTAGTTCTGCTCTGATCTTGGTTATTTTATTTCTTCTGTTGGGTTTGGGTTTGGTTTGTTTTTGTTTCTGTAGTTCTTTGAGGTGTGACCTTATCAGTTTGTGCTCTTTCAGTCTTTGATGTACGTGCTTAGGGCTATGAGGTTTTGATAGGTTATATCATTATTGTCATTCAGTTGTAAGAATTTTTTAATTTCCATCTTGATTTCTTTTTTGACCTAGTGCTCATTCAGGAGCAGGTTAATTTCCATGTATTTGCATGGTTTTGAAGGTTCCTTTTGGAGTTGAATTCCAGTTTTATTCCACTGTGGTCTGAAGGAGTGCTTGATATAATTTCAATTTTCTTAATTTATTGAGGCTCGTTTTATGGCCTATCATATGGTCTATCTTGGAGAAAGCTCCATGTGCTGTTGAATAGAATGTCTTCTGCGGTTGTTGGTTGAAGTGTTATATATGTATCTGTTAAGTCCATATGTTCCAAGGTAGCATTTAAATCCATTCTTTGTTGACTTGCTCTCTTGATGACCAGTCTAGGGCTGTCAGTGGAGTATTGAAGTCCCCCAGTATTACTGTGTTGCTATCTCATTGCTTAGGTCTATTAGCAATTGTTTTATAAGTTTGGAAGCTCCAGTGTTAGTGCGTATATGTTTAGGATTGTGATATTTTCCTGTTAGACAAGGCCTTTTACCATTATATAATGTCACTCTTTGTCTCTTTTAACTGCTGTTGCTTTAAAGTTTGTTTTGTCTGATGTAAGAATAGCTACCTCTGCTGGCTTTTGGTGTCCATTTGCATGAAATGCCTTTTTCCACAGCTTTAGGTGAGTCTCCGGAAGGCAGCAGAGATTTGGTTGTTGAGTTCTTATCCATACTATGGTTCTGTATCTTTTAAGTGGAGCATTTAGGCCATTCATTTACATTCAATGTTAGTATTGAAATGTAAGGTACCATTGCATTCATCTTGATCTTTGTTATCTTTATACTTTGGTTTTGTTTTTGCTTTGTAATGTATATTTTTGTTTTTATAGGTCCTGTGTGATTTATTCTTTAAAGAGGTTCTGTTTTGCAGTGTTTCCAGGATTTGTTTCAAGAGTTAGAGTTCCTTTTAGCATTCTTGTAGTGGTGGCTTGGTAATGGTGGATTCTCTCAGCATTTGTTTGTCTGAAAAATATTGTATATTTCCTTCATATGTGATGCTTAGTTTCACTGGATACAAAATTCTTGGTTAATAATTGTTTTGTTTGAGGAGGCTAAAGATAGGGCCCCAGTTCCTTCTAGCTTGTAGAGTTTCTGCTGAGAAATCTGCTGTTAATCTGTTGGGTTATCCTTTATAGGTTACCTAGTGTTTCTGTCTCACAGCTCTTAAGATTTTTTCCTTAGTTTTTAACTTTGGATAACCTGATGACAGTGTACCTAGGTGATGATCTTTTTGTAATGAATTTCTCAGGTGTTCTTTGTGCTTCTTGTATTTGGATGTCTAGGTCTCTAGCAGGGCTGGGGAAGTTTTCTGTGATTATTCCCCCAGATACGTTTTCCAAGCCTTTAGAATTATCTTCTTCCTCAGGAATACTGATTGTTCTTAGGTTTGCTCATTTAACATAATCCCAGACTTCTTGGAGGCTTGTCCTTATTTCCTTATTCCTTTTTCTTTGTCTTTGTTGGATTAGGTTAATTCGAAGACCTTGTCTTCGATCTCTGAATTTCTTTTTCTTCTGCTTGTTCAGTTCTATTGCTGAGACTTTCCAGAGCATTTTGCATTTCTAGAAGTGTGTCCAAAGTTTCCTAAATTTTTGATTGTTTTTTCTTTAAGCTATCTATTTCCTTGAATATTTCTCCCTTCACTTTTTCTGTTTTTTTTTTGTTGTTGTTGTTGTTGTTGTTTGTTTGTTTGTTTTGTTTTTTATTTCCTTGCGTTGGGCTTTGCGTTTCTCTGGTCCCTCCTTGATCAGCTTAATAACAGACCTCTTGGATTCCCCCCTCCCCCCTCCCAGGTAAATCAGGGATTTCTTCATGGTTTGCATCCGTTGCTGGTGAACTAGTGTGACTTTTTGGGGAGTGTTGAAGAGACTTATTTTGTCATATTACTAGGATTGGTTTTCTGGTTCCTTCTTATTTTGGTAGGCTCTGTCAGAGGGAAGGTTTAGGGCTGAAGGCTGTTGTTCAGATTCTTTTGTCCTACAGGGTATTCCCTTGACATAGCACTCTCTCCCGTTTCCTGTGGGTGTGACTTCCTGTGAGCCAAACTACTTGATTGTTGTCTCTTTTCTGAGTCTAGCCACCCAGCGATTCTGCCTGGCTCTGGGTACTGGGAGTTGTCTGCCCAGAATTCTGTGATGTGAACCATCTATGGGTCTCTCAGCTGTGGATACCAATGCCTGTTCTGGTGGAGGTGGCAGAAGGTACAGTGGACTCTCTGAGGGGTCCATAGTTTTGGTGGTTTAATGCTCTATTTTTGTGCTGGTTGGCCTCTTGCCAGGAAGTGGTACTTTGCAGAAAGCATCAGCTGTAGTAGTGTGGAGAGGGACCACTGGTAGGTGGGGCCCTAGAACTCCCAAGATTGTATGTCCTTTGTTTTCCACTACCAGGGTGGGTAGGGAAGGACCATTGGGTGGGGGTCAGGCATGTCTGAGCTCAGACTCTCCTTGGTGGGTCCTGTAGTGGCTGCTGTGAGGGATGGGGTGAGATTCCCAGGTCACTGGAGTTGTGTACTTAGGGCAATTATGGCTGCCTCTGCTGAGTCATGCAGGTTGTCAGGGAAGTGGGGGAAAGCCGGCAGTCACAGGCCTCACCCAGCTTCTACACAAACAGAAGGGCCAAATCTCACTCTCACTGTGCCCCCTCACCAGCAGCCCTGAGTTTGTTTCCAGGGGGAGGGCAAGACAGGCTTGAAAATCTGCCCCAGGCTACCCGCCTCCCAGCTGCAAACTAAAAGGGCCTTTGGAGTCTGCACATGGGATTTGCGTCCTCCCCCACACCAAGTTCTGGCCAGGAGGCTTCTCACCCCATTCAAAATTGTCACAGAATTCAGCTAGAGAATTCCTTCTCCCTGTGGGGTTTTACCCCCTGCTCCTCAGGCCACCCTCCAGATGTGTCCCTGTGGTGCCAGGCAGGAATGGGATGCTTGGAGACCCAGCAAGCTCCCAGGGCCTTTCTGCTGCTCCCTCTACCCCTGTATTTCACCTGCCTGTCCATATTGAGTCAACTCCAGGTAAAGTCAGAAACTTGTCCCGCAAATAGACCTTCAGCTTCCCCAGTGGAGGTGAGTGTTCAGAAGAGGGTCTGCCTTTCCCACTTCCGCAGTTGGGGCACTCACAGTATTTGCAGCGTCTCCCGGGTCCTGCAAGAGCAGTGCACTTCCTTCAGAGGGTCTGAGATTGCTGGTTTGTTCTTGCAGTTGATCTGGAGCTAAAATTCACAATGTGAGCCTCTGCAGCTCTAATCCAGGCCTATCTCCCATCGCCATGCTGATCTCTCCCACTCAATCAGTTTCCTGGGTCTTGATCTAAAATGTGCATCAGGGAAGCTCACTGACTAAGTAAATAAAGAGATTCTATAAAAGAAACTTTAATGCATTCATCAAGATTTCCTGCAAGGTCACATATTACAGGTAAACAGTTTAGATTTTTGTTTGTGATTTGGAAACCTAGCATGAGTAACTCCATTTTGAGTTTCTCTGTTGGGTGTAGTGCAGCAACCAAGTCTAAATCAGTGGCTTTTCATAATTTTATTTAATAATGCTATATGATCAAAGCTACAGGTAGGAAAAATAGTGGTTCTAAATGTTATGAAACAAAGAGAATATAAACAAATGGGCTAAGTGTTCAATCCAGAAAGGCAGGAAGAAGTTAGCAAAAATGCAGAAAGGAGTTGATACTGAAGTGGAAAATGATGAAGTTGATCATGGTTCTTCTGAAAAAAAGAAAATACAATTGACAACTTATATCAAAGACTGTTATTTATAAAAATTAGTAAAACAGTTGTTGATTGGCACATCTAACCCTGAGAAAATATTTACACATATTCAAGACAGAATGAAAAAGGTGATAAAAACCACAGTGATACATAAAAGTAGCATATTAAATTTGAAAATCAAAATGACATTTTTGACTTTCTCAAAATATAGTAAATTGTCTTAAGACATGTGGACATATAAGTGTGAAAGAAATTCCCAAATAATCGTAGCCAACAAGGCACTAGAAATAGATGGCTTTAGAAGCTACATACAAGAAATAGAATATTCCTATACTATTTAAGCTACTATAAGATGACAAGTATGGGAAACTTCACATTCTTTCTGTAAGTGAAACCTAACTGCTGTGGATATAGAACTGCCCAATAATATTGAAATGCTGAATGTGTCTGGATACCAAAAGCACAGAAACAATACAAGAGAAAATAATTTTAGACCAGTTACAAGTAAAATTGAAGATGTAGAACTTCTAAAAAAATGTTAGCAAATCAAACCCAGGAGTGACTAGAACATGGAACCAACTACTGTTTATTCCTAGATTATAGAGAAATTGAATACTTAGAAGTTTATTACTTTTATTTGCTGTATTAGGTGAAAAAATATCTTGAAGGATGATGAAAACTATTTGATAAAATTTAATATCCATTCCTAATTTAAAAAATAGAACCCTAAGAAACTAAAAGTAGGTAAATATTTTGTGTGCAAAATAAAGTATTAATAGTAAACATCATATTAATGGTGAAATGTTAGAGCATATATTGTCAGTAGTTCTTGAGCGGACAAAATAAATCTTGACATATAAAATAAAGATATATAGTGTATAATACAGATAGTATATTTATGGTATTATTCATAAAATTTAGAGCAATTAGGGAAAGAAACTTAAAAGACTCTTGGGGGCACTAATGACAAACAATTTGGGAAACACTGCTCTAGAGCATTCCTTATTAGTTACAGATAAGACAGAGATGCTTGCTAGTACCACTTTTACTCAGCAGTGTTTTGAAAAGGTCAGCAAACTCAATGCCAGTTAAATAAATGGCATAAACCTTAAAGAGTAAGAGCCATAATTACAGTACATGAAGATAGTAAGATTTTCTACATAAGAAACATTAAAAGATCAATTGAAAAATGATTTCAGGAGAGAGATTCAGTAACTTGACTGATTTCAAGATATTGTATGTTATGTGAAGTTCCCAAGAACAGAGCTGAATAATTTATTGACAGTCATAAAAAAATGGTTTGAATAAGTGAGAGGATTTAATGTTGTAGATATTTTAAGTATCCTGAAATTATCTTGCAATTGATGCATTTCATACATTCATTTAACAAATGTGTTGAAAACCAGTTGCATGCCAGATACTGTTCTAAATGTTGGGTGTACATCGGTGTATGGAACAGGTAAGAACTCCTTTCCTCTAACTTACATTATTGTGGTTAGAGCTAGACAGTAAACAGAGAAGTGTAAGTATGTAATATGTGAGGGTGGTGACAGTTCCCATCAAAATTCCAGGAAGATTATTTTTAGACGCTGACAAAATATTTTAAAGTTCATATGGAGCAGTATCTGTGAGAGAATGAGAGAAGTTCTGATAGATTGTCCTATTCAATACTGAAATATAATATAGAATTCAAATCACTGGTACAGGTGCAAGATAGGGCAGTGGGAGAAAATATAGAGAGGGTCAGGAAACATTCAGGAGAAAAGGAGAATTTTTGTCTAAAATAAAATTGAGATTTCAGATTAGTGGAAAAGTGAATTTAGTGAATTGTGTGTATCAGCTGGGTATTCAGTACTCCAAAAAAGATTTCAACTAGTCAAACAACTAAGTCATAAAAACAGATAACATTTAAAGTACCAGAAACAGGACTTTGTAAGCATGACCCTAGAAGTAGCAGAGAAAAGGTCAGTATAACATAAAAAGATTCAATATTTCCCAAGGGCAAAGAGCACCAAAAACGATGTGAAAAGTCACATGATAAACTGAGGAAGATATTTACAGTACATGTAATGGACAGAGGGTTGATGTTCTTGCTAGAGATCTTAAAATAAAATAAAAAAATAAACTTAATAAAAAGATGCAAGGGACATAAAATGGAATTTACACACAGTGCAAGTTGAAATCTTTTTTTTTTTTTTTTTTTTTTTTTTTGGCCTGGCAGAGTGCTACAGATAAAACAGATTGCTAATACTCAATGTTGCTTGTGGACTGGAGTGTTCATGCAGCTTTCTGCAGGCCAGTTTGAGAATATTTATTAGGATTTTAAATGTGCCTTCATTGAGCAGCACTTCACCTCCGAATTTAATGCAAGAAAATAATTGGGTAAATAGGCAAAACTATTTTGTACAAAAATGTTCATTTTTTTATAATAGCAAAAAATTGGAAATCATCTAAATTGTCATTTGTGTTATAACTCTATACATTGGAAAACTGATCAGCCATGAAAATGATGTATGTTTCACCAACATGGAAAGATGCCTGTTACATATTTTATGTGTGAAGATGAGGTTGTAAAATATGTGCCTAGTATGCTATAATTTCATAAGACATGTGGCACTGTATCTTCATATATGCCGATTGATGAAGATGGTATCAGTGTATATACCAAAGAGATTAAAAATGGTTATCTGAGTGATGATTTTGTCTTCACAGTGTTTAGAATACTAAAAAGTTTCTGCAGTGGAATGCCTACTCTTTTAAAAACCAGAGTTGAAAGAGGGAAGCCTTTTTTGAGAGGGTTGGAGGAAAGGTAAGAAAGGGCGTGGGGATGCCCTTTTGTGGCCCCAGGCCTAGGGCCGCGGAATCCAGAACAGAACCCGGAACCTGAGTGCCTGCCCTGTTGAGGGCCGTAGGGAGGGCAGCGCAGCGAACCCAAGCGGACCGGAAGGGAGCGTGACGTGTGGCATCCTCCTCAGAGAGCCCAGCGTTGCCTTCGCCAACATCATGAAGTTTCGTGCCAAGATCATCGGCAAGGGCTCTCTAGACCTGTTCATCCAAGTCAGCAGCACCGTGGCGAGGCTGGTGAAGGTCTGCGTGCTCCGCGTGTGCCCCGACAGGATGTGTTTCGGCTCCGCAGGCTCAGGCGGCCTTCAGGAGGCCAGGCTGTGGTGCGAGGTGCAGCAGCGGGCCTTCCAGCAGTTTCGCATGGAAGGTGTCTCGGAAGAACTCAATGAGATCCATTTGGAGCTGATGGCGGAGCACCTGTCCAGGGCAGCGAGAAGCGCGGTGGGCGCGTCCTCCCTGAAGCTGCAGCTTACCCACAAGCGCTGCCCCTGCCTCACCGTGGTGGTGGAGCTGGCCTCACCTCTGGGCCGTGTTCGCAGCGTGATGCACGATCTGCCCGTGCGGGTGCTTCCCAGAAGAGTGTGGCGAGACTGCCTGCCGCCCAGCCTGAGCGCCTCGGATGTGAGCATCTACCTGCCGCGCTGGAGGACGCTGAGGAGCATCGTGGAGAGGATGGTGAACGTGGGCGATCACGTGCTGCTGGAAGCAAACCTCAGTGGCAAGATGACCCTGAGTATAGAGACGGAGGTGGTGTCTATTAAAAGTTATTTTAAAAATCTTGGAAACCCTCCAAAGTCGGCTGTTGGTGTGCCTCAAAACAGAGACCTGGAGAGCATGGTGCAAGTGCGGGTAGATAATCGTAAGCTTCTGCAGTTTTTGGAGGGACAGCAAATAAATCCTCCGACGGCTTTATGCAATATTTGGGACAATGCTCTTCTTCATCTTGTTTTGGTTCAAGAAGATGTCTCTCTTCAGTATTTCATTCCTGCCTTGTAAAAATTCAGCCAGCTTAGATTTGTTTTTTAAACTTAAGAACTTTTCAAAACTGAAACAGACCGAGTTAATTGGTTTGAAAGTTTGTACCTTCTCTGACTTAATGCTAGGCGTATATTTTATTGAGCCCTTCCTCCTTTGCAAAATTTATATTAAAGCATTGATAAAACAGTTGGGTAGTTTATCTTTTTGTTTTTTGACTTTGTCAGTTTTTTTCATGCTTAACACTCTAACAAAAAAATTATTCTTCAACTCTTTGTTGGGGGAGGGGGAAGAAGGTTGTAATGAAATAAATATTTTTGAATACTGAAACAGTTGCCTCAGTATTTTTCTTATAAAATGCTACTGTGTAAAGCAGGAACGTTCTCCTTTAAAAATATGTATAAACGTTTTCCTTTAGAGAATCACTTTCCGTGGCAGCTATAGACATAGAAAATTTATTTCTGAAATAAGATTTGCAAGACAAAATTACTCCATGATCCATGGACTGCGGAATGGATATTGTTAGCAGTCATGAAAACTTTCATTTCCTTTTGTATCTCCACCAGAACTCTTGGGTGACCAGGTGCATTGTCAATAAGCAGTAATATCCTGAAAGAAATCTTTTTTTCTAAGGATTAGGTTTAAACAATGAGCTTACATTATGCAATAAAAACTATGCTGTAAACAGATGTGCTGTCATCTAGGCTTTGTTGTTCTATTGATAGAACACAGGCAGAGTAGATTTATCATAATTCTTCAGAGCCCTAGGATTTTCAGAATGGTAAGTGAGCGTTGGCTTCAACTGAAAGTCACCAGCTACATTAGCCCCTAACAACAGAGTCAGCCTGTCCTTGAAGCTTTGAAGCCAGGAATTGACTTCTCCTCTCTAGCTATGAAAGTCCTAGATGGCATCTTCTTCCAATTGAAGGCTGTTTGTCTTCATTGAAATCTGTTGTTGAGTGATCTTATAATAGCTAGATATTCTGGATAACTTGCTGCAGCTTCCGCATAAGTACTTGCTGTTTCACCTTGCATTTTTATGGTCAGGAAATAGCTTCTTTCCGTAAACCTTATGAACTATCCTCTAACTCAGCCTTTTCTTCTGCAGTTTCCTCACTTCTCTAAGCCTTTATAGCATTGAAGAAAGTTAGGGCTTTACACTGGGTTAGGTTTTGGCTTAAGGGAATATTGTGGTTTGTTTGATCTTCGATCTAGACCACTTACACTTTCTCCATATCAGCAGTAAGGCCGTTTTGTTTCTTATCATTCATGTGTTCACTGGAGGTGCACTTTGAATTTCTATCAATAACTTTTCCTTTGTGTTCACAACTTGGCTGTTTGCCACACGAAGGGCTGGCTTTAGGCTGTCACATCATTCGACATGGCTTCCTTACTAAGCTGACTCATTCCTAGCTTTTGATATAAAGTGAGAGATTTGAAACTCCTGCTTTCACTTGAGCACTTAGAGGCCATTGTAGGGTTATGAGTTGACCTACTTTTAATATTGTTATATTTTAGGGAATAGGGAGACCTGAGGAGAGGGAGGGAGAATGCTGGTTGGTGGAGCAGTCACACACACATTTATCAATTGAGTTCCCTGTCTCATATGAGCATGGTTTGTGGTGTCCCAAAATAGTTAAAATAGTAACATCAAAGAACACTGATCACAGATCACCATGACAGATATAATGATAATGAGTAAGTTTGAGATAATGCAAGAATTACAAAATGTGAAATAATGATAATGAGTAAGTTTGAGATAATGCAAGAATTACAAAATGTGAAATGGAGTGTCATGGAGAGACATGAAGTGAGCACATGCTTTTAGAAAAATGGCACTGATAGGCTTGCTTGATGCAGGTTTGCCACAAACCTTCAATTTGTAAAATATGCAGTATCTGACTAGTACAGTAAAGTGAAGCACAGTAAAAGGAGGTAAAGTCAAGTTCATGTTAACCAAAATATTGCTTTAAGGGTAATTTTTGGATAAATCAGATCTCTGTTCCTCCTCTCTCCCCGCCGCCCCTTCCCAGTATTCCAGTACTTCTCTTAGAAAATAATTCTTAATGTTTCACTGTTTAGAGAAAAAGGAGGAGAGGTTATAAAAGGATGGTATAACAATGAACAGTCTCAGGGGGAGGAATAGCTCATATTCTTTTATATTAAATTTTAGTTTAGTGTTTTAGTGGCTTATGCAGTAAGATAAGCCATTAACTTGGGAACCTGTATATTTGCATACTTAGTACATTCCCATGACTACATTTTTATCAGTAATGAAAAGTTTCCTGCTAGATTTGGTCATGAAACACTTGAACCTGTTAATTTATTTTTTTTGATGATTTCTAAATTCCACCTGTGGCGGTGTGGAAAGAACACACAAACGTTGGACCCAGGCAAGTCACTTGAACCCGCTGGCTTATTAAGATCTGTTTCCGTTGGACTAGATTCTGATTTAGTGCTATTAAAGTTGTAACATCGGAAATTTAAACAGTTGTTTTCAAAAGTATTTCAGAAGTAGTTTTAAAAAATTATTAATAACCACTGGAGATATAGTGTAAGCTCTGTGAAACTGCTTTCTAACTTCTGAGTTACGTACAAAAATGTGGGAATATTTAATTTGGTGAGTATTTTCAGAGCTGGTTGTGAAGATTTTTAATAAAGCCATTTTTTGGTTCATTTAAAAAAATCTGCCCTTATTTGCGCTTTGTAGACTACAGATTAGTAGGCTTTATTTTTTATTATATTTTATTTTTTTGAGACAAGGTCTCACTCTCTTGCCCAGGCTGGAGTGCAGTAGCACGATCTCAGCTCACCCTAACCTCCTCCTCCTCGGTTCAAGTGATTCTTGTGCCTTAGCTTCCCGAGTATCTGGGATTACAGGCGCCCACCACCGTGCCCGGCTAATATTTTAATTCTTATTAGAGACAGGGTTTTACCATGTAGGCCAGGCTAGTCTCAAACTCCTGACCTTAGGTGATCTGCCCATCTCAGCCTCCCAGTGTGCTGGGATTACAGACGTGAGCCAGGCCTTTTGTAGACTTTAAATGTAAGATAAAAATGGAGAATATATCCCTTACTACAAGTGAGGAAATTACAAGATCTGCAGGTTTTGATTGATACAACACAGAAATTCTTTGTCATGTTTAGTTCAGACATCTCTTCCAAATTTTTTCCTTTTTTAGTAAAATTAAGTGAGTTTTTTCAAGCTATAATAAAATATTTTTTACTGGTTTCGTACTCGCTTCTTCTTTCCTGCAGTTGTCTGTCTCTAGTTCTGTTGCTTCCTCTTTATGTACTTAATAAAACCAAGAGAAATGAAAAATGTTATGGTTTGTTTTGGAACATAAATAATTGTACAGTCTAATATTTGATGAATTGTTGTGGTTTACTTTTAGTAATTCATTAACAAGGACATCTATCAAAAGTTTTATAGCCTAATTTGTAATGTAGCTTTTGGAAATGAAAAAGATAATTTATTCTTCTACTTAGGTTGTTCCCTAATTTGCAGAGATATGTTGCCCATGATATTAAGGAAAATCAATAGTTCTTCTAAACATAATGTTTAATATTGTCTAATTATATATTAAAAACATTTTATAATACAGAAATTTAAAAATGAATAGCTTGCTATTATAATTTTTAGATAAATTGTGAAAAACTAGAGAGTGCCTGTTTCTGTAGTTATGCATTAGTTGCTGAATTTAAAACTTTGTAAAGGACTCTTATAGGAACAAGAGCTCAAAGGTGCCTTAGAGCTGATCTCATCCAATCACCATGTTTATAGATGAGAAAAGTTTCGCAGTGCATAAAAGTCAACAAGTGTTTTTATTTCCTAATGCCAGAACTCAGTTTAGAACCCAGTCTCCAGATTGTTCATAAATGTTTCACGAGACTTACAGCTTGGATATACTTTTGTTCATTACAATAAATCTAGAGTACCATGTGAATGTTTTACTTAACTTTAAAAGATAACAGTTAAATTTAAAAATCTCAAACCTTTTGGAAAGGCATTGTCATATTGTCCTTGCTTGAAGCTGTCTTTTGCTCTTGCAGGCAGAAAGGAATTTATTTGCCACACAAAATGATAATTCAATGAAAATAAAGTCTCACATTTAAAAAATCAAGGCCTCAAGTTTACAAATTATTTAAGCCTCTTCCATTGTTTCTCATAGGGAGACTACTGAGAAGTAATAAGACACTATGCATTTTATGTTTCACTGTATCTATAGAAAATAAATCATAGGAAAATGTATTAAAGTGCTTTCTTTATATCCAGAATTTATTGTCCCACTAGATCCCACTTGCTGAAAGCTAAACTGGCTTATTCATGACAGTCTTGTACTTTTAAAAAATTCTACTGCTAAAAAGAAATTGCTCTTGAGTGTGTATTTATTCAATGAATAGGTTGCCATTATCAAGAGAAATCAGACAAGTGTCTCTTACCTGGTTAATTTCTATAAGGACCCTCCTAGTTCTGGTTATCCCCATTTGTTAACAGGAGTTGAAAACACATCAGAATTATGATTGATCCTTCCTTCCTTCCTTCCTTCCTTCCTTCCTTCCTTCCTTCCTTCCTTCCTTCCCTCCCTCCCTCCCTCCCTCCCTCCCTCCCTCCCTCCCTCCCTCCCTTCCTTCCTTCCTTCCACTCTGGTAATGGACAGGACATAAGTGTATAGTGTGCTTCTTAGGCTAGGAGCCAGCATGTAATAACTTGTAGCCTATCTTATATATCTGTGTATATATGTGAAGTCCCCAGTAAGTATTCCCATTCTCCCAACCTTTAGCATTTGCCCATTTGCAGTATTTAGTACTTTGTATATTATTAGTGTTCTTGTGCCAGAATATAACCTAATAAAAGTTTCTAATTCTTATCTGTATTAATTTTCCTTACATGAGTAATAATAACTATTTTACCTCTTCATCCCTCTGCTTTCTAAGGATAAAATTAGCTTGTGGCCGGGCACAGTGGTGTGGGCCTGTAGTTCTAGCTACTACCGAGGCTGAGGCAAGAGGATCACTGGAAGTCAGAAGTTGGAGGTAGTGATGCACCCTGGTTGTACCTGTAAATTTCCATGGCACTCTAGCATGCGAAACACAATGAGGCTGTATCTCTTAAAAAGAAAAGATTTAGGGCCCAGTGCAGTGGCTCATGCTTGTAATCCCAACACATTGGGAGGCTGAGGTGGGCAGATTTCTTGAGCCTAGGAGTTTGAGACCAGCCTGGGCAACAGAGCAAGACATCATCTCTGTTAACAAAAATACAAAAATTAGGCAGGCATGGTGGTGCATGCCTGTGGTCCCAGCTGCATGTAAGGCTGAGGTGGGAGGATTGCTTGAGCTCAGGAGTTCCAGGCTGCAGTGAGCCGTGGTCACGCCACTGCACTCCAGACTGGTTGACAGAGTGAGATCTTGTCTCAAAAAAAAATAATAATAATTTTTAAGAGTTTGTGGTATGTGCTTTTAGGATAGGCTTATTCATTTTATTCCTTAGTGCTTTCTTGATTGTCTTAAATGACTATGAAGTTAAAAGACTGTATATTGCTTTAATTAAACAAATGTTTATAACAGGCAAAGTCAAACTTTTGTTGACCTCTGTTTAGTGTATTTATATAAGAAAGACCTTATGACATATTTTTTATGCCATTGTTTTGTGACATTTGGAATATTTGTTAGGAAAATTTGTAGGTAATGACAGCCGTAGACTAGAGGGTTCCTTTAAACTCAAGGGAGTCTGGCATGGGTTGTCAAACTGAAAATGTTCAGAAACTGAATTCTGTTTCCTGAAAGCCTGAAACTCTTGGCTGAGAGTGATAAGAAGTTATTTCATTTATTTGTGATTTTAAATATAAGAGCATTACCTATCAGTACGAACATATCAATAAACATAAGAACATACTACCATGTAGTATGTTTTTAACTGAAGACAGGTGGAGAAGAGACATCTCTTCCTATAGTTCGTTTCACAAATTATTGAGGGTATATTATATTGCAGGCACTTTTGTATGTGCTGTGGATACTGCAGTGTGAGAAGCAGGTATGTTCTTATATTTGTAAATTAAATGACAGATCTTCCTGGCATAATGGTTTGTTCTGGTTTGGGCATATGTAGGTAATTCTTCCTGGTAAGGAAATAGGATTGTTGCAAATGAACCAGTGTAATGCATGCTGGGTTTTCAACTGTCTCTGCTTTGTTTGTCTGAAGAGACCTACCTGTACTCTTTAGTCACAAATAAGAAAATAGATCAGACTTTTTGATTCATGACTATGCCTAGTGGCCCGGTCTTTACCTTTTACTACCAGGCACTACTTTTAGTTGGACAAATTTTAAGGGTAACATAGTTAAGATTAAGAGCCGTGTGTAAATGACCTCAAAACGGATTTGAAATAGTGGGAGTAAATTGGAATTGCCCTGTCCTAGTTTTTCAGTTTTGCTTTCTTTGAGACCACAGGTATTCTGATTGCAGTTATGTTTCACACCAGAGTGAGCCAGAGCCCCAGTCACTGGAGAAACAATGAAGGTTCTTACAATGTGAGTGGTCACATTCACAAATGACCTCATAGGACACATGGTGGTATAGAAGGAAGAGGTACTAGACTCTTAGAACACCAAGGATCTGGTCTGCTTAACAACTTGTCAGTGTGTGCTCTTGAAAAAGACATTCAACACCTCTAGGTTACAGTTTTTTCAGGTGAAGAGACTAGATA